CTGCCTGACCCACTCCTGCTCCATTATGGAGGTCACAATCTCTTAATTAATGTTCCCATGACAGGGAATTGCTTGATTGGTCGCTGGTGAGAGGCTCTTCGAAAGAGCATCAGCGCCCAAGTCATTGCACCCTCTGTTTGGGAAGTGGCTGTGGGGGGGGGAGGGATGCCCTCGTGCGCAGATGCCTCTGTCAGAGCTGAAGGAGTGAGGGAGGCCTGCCCGGCCTTGTGCACCCCCACCCAGACTACGGCAGGGCTGCTCCCTGTCGGTGTAAACACAGATTTGTTCCACTAGTCAACCCCTTGGGGTTTAAGGGCGAAGGGAAAGGAACAGCCTCTAGCTTGGAAAGATCTCTTTCCTCTCCCCAACCCGGGGGTGATATCCTTTGCTCACCAGGCTTTGCATGTGGCAAGATGGCAGCAAAGAGGTAAGGGGGGGGAAACTACCCTTACACACACAGACACACACAGACACACACAGACACACAGACACACACACAGAGGGAGCTGCTGCTCCCACCCATGTCACACCCTGCTGCCACCAGGTGAAGGCCTGACCTTGGTGCAGAGATCTGCCCTTCCTGCACCCCAGGGCTCATCTCACCCAGGGCCCTGCCACTGCTGTGGGCTGACATGTCACGTTGCATGACGGGGCTCCCGGACAGCCGCTGCAGCAGCCCCATGAAGCAGCCAAGAACTGCCAGGAGGGGCCGTCAGACCTGAGAGGGGCTTACAAATTGCACTGTGGTGCCTTCTCACCCAGTCCTGCATGAACAAAGCAAGCAAGCCCAAAGGGAAGGGAGGCATCACGTACCTGGCAGCCATGATCCATCTCGCTTTCCCTGCCTGCCCTCACTTTCTGTGCATCCTGGTTTCTTCTGCTGCCCTGGTGCTGAATTCCAGCTCACCTGGTTTGTTGGGAGAGGCGCACAAAGAAGACAGCAAAGCACCATCGATGCCGCCGGGCAGAGGACACACACCCCCAATCCTCACCGGGGGCTTCTCAACACTGGCCAGACAGGAGCAGGGAGCCCTGGGGAAAGAGCCCTTTGTGGGGAAGCCCCAGAGGAACTCTGAGGGGTCTCTCCATCCTGGCACTGTGGCTTCAGCCCCGGTGGCTACGACCAGCCAGCTGGGGTTCTGATCTGCTCCACAGATCAGATCCCACCCCAGTTCCCTTCCCCTTCAGGGTGAGAGAGGGCAGCAGCAGCAGGAGGAGGATCGGGCAGGCCCTGCAAGAACAGCCAGGCACCAACGCCAGTCGGGCAGGGCTCTTTGCCAAGAAGAATAACCTTTGGTGAGGTCCGGAACCCAAACAATGCAATGCAATTCTGCAGGGTTGCCATAGCAGCAGCAGCAGCAGCAGCCCCGGCTTCTCTCCCACCTGCCACAGCCTCTCTGAGGATTTCTGCTCCACTTGCACTTCCGGCATGTCCCTCACCCCCCCCCAGCCCACAGGTATCCGCTCCTTGCAATGAGAGTGGGGGTGGGGTGGGGGCAAAACCAACGCTGGCTTAGGTTCACCAGGTCCTGGCCACCCAGGATGGAGATCCGTCCTAGGACTTCCTGACCCGGCCACCTGGCCTTCCCTGCCACAGCACCCAGGCCCTGACTGGGGGCAAGAACCCCGGAGTGGGCGGCACAGGCTGCTCCTTGGCAGGAAGAGAGAGGGAGCTGCAAACGGTTCTGCACCCCTGGAACCCCTGGAGGGTAGAAAAGAGAGCGAGCGAGAGCGGGAGAGAGGTCTCGGGTGCAGCATCCCCACTTCTCTGTGGTCTCTAGGAAAGCCAGGGTTTGCCTTTCTTTGCAGGTAAAAGAAATACGTACTAGAGGTTCATTCGATTCATTCGCAAAGAGGTCAGAGGTAAGCCAAGCAGAGTTAGCGGCTGAGGCCACGTTCTAATCTTGGACATCCGATCAGCAGATGGAGAGGTGTTTGGCACCTTTAGGTTTGAAAGGGGATTGCACACATTCACACTGGCAAACTAGTCATGGCGGCATTTAAGAGGCCTCCAGGCTCTCTCTTCTTCAACCAGACACTGCCAGCTGGTTGAAAAGCAGTAAGCAGTGCAAAAGTGGAGAGCACTCATCCAGATAGCCTCCGGCTTCTTTCTCAAGGTCCTGAGTCCACTCAGAATTTTAAGTTTTGTGCACTCAGACTGGAACTTGCCTACCAGCATGGAATGTTCCTTCTCTGTGGAAGATCTCCTCCTTTATCCCGAGGCCATTGTGAGATGAAAACACTCCCTTTGGCTGCCCAGAATCAATTTTCCTACATCATTTTCAGTTGCAGGACAAACCAGGCTGCTGCCCTCTGCCAATGGCACGCAGGCCTGGTTGTCCAGGGCTATCAGGAACGACAGGTGTGCTGCTCATCCTGTCTGTGCCTGGCTTCCCATCCAGTCATGCAGCATTATTGGCTCAATTCCCAAGACCACAGATCCTGAGCTTCAAGTCCTGCTGAGGGGCTTACAAGCATACGAGGATTCTCAAGAATTTGCCTTCCTCCAGTGGCACGCCACCCCGTTTGCTTGCATGCTCCTCTCTGGCTCCCTGCAGTGCTCCAAAGCCACTTGCTCTGCTCGCTCCTTGCATATGCGGTTGCTCCCAAAGGATAGCCTTAATGAGGAAAGCGGTGGTGGCTCCCAGAGGCCTCTGAATAACTGCCAGAGAAGAGAAAGTTAGATAAACTTGGAAACTTCCATTAGAAACAGCAAATGGTGGGGGAGTAAAAAACCCTACTTCCAGGAGGAGTTGGGAGCTGTTCACCTTCCCCAAGAATGTGGAGGGGCCCAGTGCCAATCCTTCACGATCAAACTCGCAGCCCCGCTTACTTGCCCTCCCCATAGGGCCCTTCCACCCCTCTGCTTGCAATCTGGGGGTCCTACATGGGAACACCAGCCGAAATCGTCCAAGCTGGGGAGGGGGAAGAGACCAACAGGGGAACTCAGCTGAGTTGGGCCTGCCTCTTGGGCCTGTCTCAGGTCAAGAACAGTCCGGCCCCCTGGTCCCCAATGGGGCGCGGTAGCCTCGCAGTGCCTCCCAGGGCCAGAGGGAGGTCTGTGCAATCTGCCGGTGGCCTGATGTTGGGGCAGAAGTGGGCAAAGAGAGGGGTGTTTATATAGGGACCCATGTCGGGGCTGACTCTAGAGCACTCCCAAGTCCCGTCTGCAGATGCGACACAGTTATCCAGTGAGTCTCAGCTTCTAACAGCCAGTGGTGACCACAGTCACACTCGTAGGTGGTAGAAGGGGATGCAGTCTTGTCAGCTGCTTGCTTTGTTCTTTGCAGAAATGAACTAAAACATATTTTAATATCAAAAAATAAAGAATCAAAATTATTTTGCTTCATTTTTCATTTGAAGCTAGAACATACCCGGGGCAAGAGCAATCTCCACAGGCCAGGTGATGATGGTAATGATGATGAAGAAGAAGGCTGGTTTCCTTGCAGAGAAGCTGCTGCAGGTGGCAAAGTCCCACCCTACCCTCTGCCCTGGCAAGTTCCCAGTGCCATCATGGCATTCTGCCCACTTGAACGCTGCTCTCTCATTAAGCAGGCAGCTGGCTCCCTTTCCTTGTTTGCCAGATCTCTCCTCCTCACCCCACCATTTCTTTTCACATCAGGGTTCACTCTAAACTTGCCCTCCTTCTGTCTCCCGCTGGTGGGAATGGACCATGTCCCGACCCTCCAAATGGACTTCCGGTTTTCCTCCCCCCCCCATCCTCTTTCTTGAACAGAGGATGAGCCGAAAGGATGCAGGTGGAGGAAGGGGAGCTGACTCAGAGAACAGGCGCCCTTGTGAAGCCGTGAGAGGAACCTGCACCTTTTGCAAACGAGATAAGCATGCAGCCTGGGTTTTAATTAAGGGGCCGCTCTACCCGAAGTGAGGGCAAGGGCACTGGCACAGGCCGAGAGTGCCGGGGGGGGGGGAAGCTGCACTCCCACCGCAAGCTCGCTGTGGAGACGATGGCTGTGTCTCTGGGAGCACCCCGAGAGCCACCCCATGACGGTAGGGGGCCGCCTGAGCAGAGATTTGGCCCACACAGGGACCCCCTTCTGCCTTTGCAAACCTACTTTTGTCTGCTCCAGAGACTCACCTGTCTCTAATTAGAATTAACCATCTTCCTCAGCGTTGTTAATCTTATTGTTTTTCAGTGCTTTCCCTTTTACATTAATTTTTGCCTTTAATTTGCCTGTCTGAACTTATACCCCTGGGCATTTCTAATTAAACAAAAATCTTTTATTACAAAATCCGAACCATCAGATGATATATTACAGTAACTGGTTTCCCTCGTTGAAAGGCCACCAAATGGACGTCTCCCTCTTGCCAGAATTTCTCCCTGGCATATGAGAGCAGAAGCTACTTTGGAGAGCTTAGATATCTCTGCCCAACTGTAAAACATTTCATGTTTTGAAATCCAGACTGTGATGAAAAAATAATTTCATTCCATTAATTTCTTTTTGATGATATTAAAAATCAGAAGCCATTTGCCCAAAATGAAGCCAGCTGTCTATCCTCCTGTATTTGGACATCTGTTTTTTCCTGCCTAAATGTAGAACTTTACATATTGCTCTGTCAAAACTCATGTATTTGTTTTATCCCTGTTCTCTAATCTGTACAGGTCATAAAGCTTCTCCCTTAGGTTCATCCCACCTTTCCCAACCAGACTATGACCATGTGTGAGAGATCAGAAGCTTGTTGAAAGAACTTTTAAAATTAGTTTTGTTTTATATACAGCCAATGCACCATTAGTGAGAATCTAATAATTCTCTTTGTCCACATTTCAGTCTAATTCCCTTTTCAATGAAAGAAGTCCAAGCCAAACCAAATCACGGTCCTGAGGGGCCAGCAGGGGTCCAGGGGGGCCAGTTTTACATGATTGCTTTGTTCAGGGTTTTTGCAGGTTTTCTTTTCTTTCTTTCTTTGGTGTGTCTGTTTAAAAAAGCAATTACTGGAAAATCCTATACAACATTTACTTTTTAAAGTAAGAACACACACACTGCTGGAGGAATATTTATACATTTTAAAATAAACAAATCCTATGTGTACATTGTGAGACTCGGCAACTCTCCAAAAGGACTCCTGCTGCAAAATGGATGGATACGGGTTGCCAAAGGACCCTGCCTCCCTGGAACTGGAAACAGAATTCTAGTCAAGATCTCAGCCTTCACACTAGCAAAACACAAGAGTATGTTCTGGAAATCTGAAACCCAGGTGCTCAGAGAGAGGTAACAAGGATGCCCTGGCTCTCCAGTGCCTCCCAGTACAGGCAGTGATGACAGCACACCAGGCACTGCGATAACTATTATAAAGCAGAGGTTGAAAGATCCCCTGCCTCCCACTCAGTCGCCCAGTAGAGACATCGCTCTCAGACTTTTTGTGACTCCTTCCAGTTCAGGCAAAGTTGATGAAGTCAAACTCCCTTTTCATCTTCAAGGTCACTTCCAGAAGGCCCTGTTCATAGAGGAAGCAGGCCTTCCCACTCTGGGTGTCCACTGGGTGAGGCAGGTGCAGAAGGAGCTTCCTAGAAAATAGGTAACATTAGGCTGGAACCTGAAGCATGTGGTTGAAGAAAGCAGAGGGTCACAACCAGGCTAGGCCGGACTTCTGCACCCCCAAGCCGTTCTGCCATCTCAGTCAAATGCAATGGCCACCCAAGGAGGATGTTTGTGACAATACTCATGTGGTGGTCAAGACAGACAGACAGACAGACAGACAGACAGACACAGACACAGACACAGACACACACACACACACACGTCCTTTGTTTTCTGGCTCTTCGGCAGCCCTACCTCATGTTCTCAAAGCTGTTTGCAGCACACAAGGGCTGCAACCTTTCCCCCCCCCCAAAAAAAGAGAGTAGTGAGCCAAGAATCTGAAGGTGCATCAAGAACCAAATGGTGGGGGGTTCCCAGGGAAGGGAGAGCACCCAGAGGAGGTCACAGGCAGGTGTAAAGTCTGCATTTCTCCCCTCAAAACCTTGAGCCTCTGGTTGGCCATTCATTAAATGGAGCAGGGAAGGCCTTGCACACGATGTTTCTTGAAAGAAAAAGAAACTGGTGAATAGGGAGAAAGTATGGTAGGGGAAATGCCCCACCATCTTCCCCAGCTTACTTCTGGGGGCTGCGAAGATCAAGAACCTTTTCACGGATATCAAGGGTAATGTCCGAAGCCTTTGTGTCTGGCAATTTGATTTTAATCTGAAATGAGAATCAGGAAAGGTCTGTAAGAGCAGCTGCCACAGTGAGATGTGTTGTCCCAGAAGCATTCTGGCTGTAGCCTCTTGGTTTCACACACCCTGGCTGAACACATATGCCCTTCCTCTGGAGGTGCTACAGGAGGTCTTGCCTTAACCCCCACCCCTCTAAAGCCCCATTCCAAGCTGACGTGTTCTGGAGACAAAAGATCAGATCTCCTCTGCCCATTGGCCAGACATGTCTTTCTTGAAGAAAGATGAGAAAAATTTCCCATCCATCTCATGGTCTGATGGGAAGACCACCTCCTGCTTCTCACATGGCCCATGCACACCACAGCCAAATACACAAAAGAGGGGCAGGGAGGTTATGTCACATAGATGACCTCACAGGCAGGTAGTGGGTGTGCTTTGAACACCCTGCATCCTAGAAAAGCCATCAGTGGCAGACCTGTGGAAAGCAGGGGTACCAGATGCGCCTCAGTTCAGGGCTACATGGATCCCACTAGTAAATGGTCCTAGAAGGCAAAAGGACCCCCACAAAGGAGGAAGATTCCTTCTTACCAGCATGTCCTCACAGCAAGCTGTGGAGGGATCCTTCCTGCTCATACCCAGGAACACATCCTCAGCCCCCACATGCTGCCTGAACAGAATTTCATATCTGTGGAAGAAGATGTTAGTCAGCATATGGAAATGTCATCGGGGACCTGCTGCACTTCAGAATGAGTGTAGAGGGCTACCTCTTTCCTCAGTTCCTGGGGCACCCTGTGCTGCCTGGCAGGCCCTGTGCTTCCAAGGGAGAAGGACTCCCATTCGTGCTGGTTCATGATGAGTCACGGTAACACCAGGGACCACTGCAGGGAAGGGGTGGGGGGGGGGGTGTGAAGCTGCCCTCCTGCCACAAAGGCTTTACACAAACAAGCTGCCAAGTGTCTCTTTGGCAAACTATTTCTAGCTGTGTTCCCTCTGCCCACCCCCATCGTTAATACCTTCCAGGAGGCAGCAAGGTAGAGCTCTCCTAGCTCATTTTAATTATCTCCCCTTTGGCAATCACCAATTTCTCCCCACTCAAAGCCAATTTGTCTAACTCCGAATGCAGCAAAGTCAGGAACTGTGTGTTCCCTTTCCGCCAGTTTTTACAAATGAGAAAATATGACTGAAGGTGGTATTTTGAGTGTGTAATGTGACTAATATAATTGAGCAAAACAAATTGAGCTAATTCTCCCAACCCACTGGAAGGCTGTGCAGAGATCAGATAGTGGTTTACAGATTTAGTAGCAGTGCTTCCCTGTAAGAGAATAACATTCCTCCTGTGGCCTTTCTCTGAGGACACAAGCCGCTCCTTGAACCAGAGCAGGTCAAGTTCTCAAGCCATCCCTTCTCATGAATGAGCCTGGAAAACCAAAACAAAGATTTCTGTGGCAGCCAACAGGCAATTCCGGGGCCTTTCCCCAGTCAGAAATGTGACTTACAGCAAAGTAGAAAACTGGCAGATGTTATTTTCTTTAATGAAAAAAATGTATTCAGAACAATTAAATGCTATTTTTAAAAGAGCCAAATGTGAGGTGTTCCTGGGGCAGCATGTCAACGTGATTATGAAGAACAGATTTCCTTCAGCTTCCTTGCTGTGAGGCCTTTCTCAGGCATCCAACTGCAAAGTAGTGACAGTTTGACCCGATCAAGCTAACACTTAACAGGACTCACGTGATGTCTTGAGCGGCTGCTTGTTCATCAGCACATCCAGAACCAATTGAAGAGTCGGACAATCAAGGACACGCTCGCTAGGCAGGCTTGGGGGAAACTGCAGGAGACCTGGGATGAGGTTCCAAGGACTCAACGTGCCATGATTTGGGTCACACTTACTCAGCCTGCTCCCTGGTATCCCAGGTATCATCATATTCGGATCCCTCCGGCACCTCCTCTGTGGTCCAGATCCCCTTCTGCTCTCCGGGTTTCACTTTAGTAGTGGCTGACAGGAGGAAGAAAGGCTGCCTGTTCACCTGTGCTTTTAAAGTGCACGTTGCCTGGACTTTCCACTGGCAGACAAGGCAGTGAGCAGGGGATCTTGGCACAGCAGCTTCCTGAGGCCAGCTTATAACACAATCATGTTACTGGGGAGATGAGAATTAAAGAAAACTCCCTACATCGATAAGAATCTCCGTTTTCACACTGTAAACCTTTAATATGGGCTGAATTTCCACTCACTGTAGCCATTTGTGTTTTTGCTATGCAAGTCCGACTGCCATAAATGTATAGCAACCCTATGAATGGGTGACTTCCATTCATCGGCAGGTGTAGATCTCCGTAAACTAAGGATTTGGCACCATGGGAGAATGGCATGTTACACTCTGAAGAATGAGTTTGCACAGGCATTTTGGCTGAAACTTGCTGACGGAAATATGGTATACTGTAGTTCTGACTGAGCCATTTTGAACAGCTCCTCAAAAAGTGCCTTCCTGAGCAAGACAGAAAAAGTGTTTCCTGGTCATCTGGCAAATCCCCAGCCAGGTTAGGATTGGGACTTGTGTCTCTCTGAGCCAGCTCAGTCTTCCTGCATGCTTGCCCTGATCTCCTGCTAACTCTGCCTGCTTCCCTCTTCCTTGTACTCTTTCCATTCATCTCAGGCCCCTGAAACCTAGGTGATGGCTGCCACATCTTGTCCCTCAGTCTTGTTTCAACTCACCTCATGCAACCAAAAAATACTCCCCACCCACGAACTTCTCTGCAAACTTTACATTAGTGTGGATACTGTACTTGTGAGGGGGACAGAACGGTGAACTGTACAACCTCTGCTCCTTGTGACTAAAAAATAATATGGGAGGCCCCTGCCCCACCACAGGAAGAGGCAGGTGCTTTCTCTCCGCAGCCACCCAGCCTGAACAGGCCTGCATGCAAGGGGAGGGAGGGAGGG